TATAATTTAATTTAGGTACAATAACGAATTAATTTATATTTGGTTTAATAATATAATTTTCTTATAAAGATAATAATTAATTATTTTGTTAGAACTCGATAATTATCCTAATTATATTTTATATTTTTTATCCGCAATTAGTTATACGAGTTCAAACATCAAACTTTAATAAGTTCTAATTTTGCATAATTTACTTGTAATCTTGAGTTTTAAGTAAACATTGGTTTTATGTGGTTTTGAGAAAGTGATAATGTTTTTATTTTTGAATAAGATATAAATTTAAAAATATCTTAAATTTTTGAAAAAAAATATCGATATCAGTATTAAATTAATTTTTTTAATTTTTTTTTTGTGTTTTGGTGTAATTTCCTTAATAATTTTTTTTTAATTATAATTTAATTTAGGTTTAGTAAGAAAGAAATTTAATTTAAGTTTAATAATTATAATTTTTTATAAAGATAATAACTAAGTATTCTGTTAGTTATCAATGATTATCCTAATTATATTTTAGATTTTTTAATTTAAAATGAGATGTTTATCCGATATTTGATTATGTTTATCTGCAGTTAATTAGACGAATTTTAATATGAAGCTTTAATAAGTTGTACTTATGCACAATTTACTTGTAATCTTAAATTTTAAGTAATATGCATCAATAAACAGTACACCATGCATAAAAAATCATTTTTAAGAGTTTTTATCAAATGCTTTATAATATAATATAGATAATTTGCTTATTTTTTGATATATCTAAATTAATAAAAATACATATTTTTATACAAGTTCTACGGATCCTTTCAAACCCAATTGTTATAAATTCCCTTTTTTTTATATATATATATATTTTTTCGTACATATATTTAAATTCTACGTATTTTGAAATAACCCAATTCTTACACAGTTTTATACATTTTACGGATTTCTTAGAGAATAACTTTTTTTTTATTAACCTGGATATCCAACCCGCTATGCGAGCCGACTAATCCCAAGACGACCACCTGTTTTGCAGATAATCCGGAGTCACCGCATTTGAACATCCGTGGTCACAAGGGGATTTTAGTACATTCTTTGTTGTAAATTAAATACTTAATTTGAAGTAATAATTTTTTTAATAGAAATAAATATATATTTATATAATTTTGATTCGATGATTTTTATAAATAAGAATATAAATGATATAAAGTTAAAATGGTTGAAATCTGGAAAATTTGAAAATAACTTAAAAGAGGGTTTTAGTTATAATAGAAATATGTTTGAGATTTTTAAGTCATAGATGACCTTTTTTGGTCATGTTAACTTGAGTAAATCATATCACTGGTTCCGGTGGTCAGCTCAGAATCTTGATATCATTCGTCTTTTGAAATAAGTATATTGAGGGTTGTTATGATCTGTATTTGTTACGTTCTGGGTCCCTTGCACTAAGTCTGTTAACTCCAACCTATTAACTCACGGCTATTTTTGTCATTTTACTATGATTTTGTCTTTTCATATTAGAAATCATATTTATTTATTATATTATATAAATATATGATATCCACCGACCGTTTCCCCACCCCCAACAACGATAAATGATGACCATCGCCCCTGCCTGCCTTCACCTTCGTTGTTGCATGCGACTAACTACTGGAGTCCATTTCCGTCCTCACCCGTAAGAAGTGTGTCAGTGTGTGTGTGTGTATATATATATATATATATATATATATATACTAGAAGGGTACTCGCTCAATGCAGCGAGATACATCTCGATTTTAATGTTTCGTTTCATTCTGTTCTCTATCAATGTTATAATACGGTTTTATGTGGTTTTATAAAAAAAACGATAATGTTCTTATTTTGAATAAAGTATAAATTTGAAGATATCTTAAATTTTTAAAAATATATATATCGATATTTGTATCAAATTAACTATTTAAAAGTTCTTGTTTTGTTGTGTAATTTATTTAATTCAATTTCTTTATTATTATTATTATTATTATAATTTAATTTAGTTTTAATAACTAAGTAATTTATTTTTAATTTAATAATTTTTTTATAAAGATAATAATTAAATATTATGTTATTATATAATGATTATCTTAATTATATTTTAGATTTTTTATATTTAAACTGAAATGTTTATCGAGTATTTGATTATGT